TGACCTTTTCATGCCGTATTAAGTCTATGACTGTTATCTTAGAGGATATCTTTAGCTCTCTCTAACTATTACAGACGAGTGACCCCCAACAGTTTTTAATGCTTAATGTACTTCCATGCTGTTAAAGCATAGAGCAAGTCTGGAAAAGAAACATACGTGGCAGTATAGGGCATGCAATTACCTTATGCACGTATCATCGTATATAAACTTATTTTAGTAGTAATTTATTTTTTTCAAACGTCAAAAAGCATCCCCAGAATAAACCTTTGGTAGGTTCCCCTAAAAAACTTAAGTTACGTGTCTCAAAGATAAAAGTTGTAGAATACAAGAACACGACTAGACAGTGATTTTAGAAAAAATCATAATTAACACAAAGGAATATTATGTTATTAAACACATTTTTTAAGCCCCTCACAAGCAATGTATTGCTCAAACTAGAAAAGCTACAATTTCTGGGGAAATTGTGTGAAGTGTTCTTGCCTCCACCAGTAGTCTACAACTGGAGTGGGTGGAGTAACTGGGTGGAGTGGCTTGTCACTCTGCTGCCTGCTCACACACCTGGATTCCTATGGCAACTCACTCTACAGCAAGTGTAAGGGACCGCCCGGCGGTACTACTAGCACTCCACTGAATAGGCGTCCCCAGCGCACGGAGTCTAAGTCCCAGGGTGCTTGTTCACCAGAGCCCCTGATGGTGGGGATGGACTTGGAGCTCCCTGAGACCAGGTCGTGGCTACTGGGTGCGCCCGTCAGTGGTAGCAGTATGCGCAAGGGGCTCCCACGGGGAAGAGTCTGATGTGAGGAGGTCAGAAGACCCCGCTGCACGGGATGGATGGATGGATGAGCAAGGTCAGACGGGCCGGGTCGGTAACAGAGAGGGCGGCAAGGTACAAGGCAGCGGGCATAGAATGGTCGGGTCACACGCCAGGTCAGCAACAGCAGGTCAAATCCAATAGGGGGCATTCAGAAGAGAGGTCAGGCAAAGCAAGGGTCAGAATAGGAGAAACAGCAAGGTCAGGTACAATCCGGGTCAATAACTTACAGGGTACAGGTTCACAGGATTCAGGATGCAGGAAAGACCAGAAGGCACTGAATGACAGCTCAGGGTCGTTTAAATATCCCGCCCTGCGCTGCCATTGGTGCCCAGCGGGCGGCCGCGGCTTCTACTGCGCATGCGCGAACTCGAACGCCGCGGCCGGCCCGGAACCAGTGCTCGAGTCCCTGCGCCGGGCGGCATACTGCGCCTGCGCCGGGACCAACGCGGCGGGGATCGAGGGGATCCCTGACAGCAAGGGCAGAGAAGAGCGATTAAAAACAAACTTCTCCAACTTGCTCACTTCACTGGCGGTTGCCATGTTCAAACGATTGTAGTTTAAACATTATACATCCTACACTGAAGAGCTTTATATTGTGAGAATTACAAGACCCAGACCTACATTTTGATGCATAGTATGTCTATGAAATATTAAAAATAAAGGCACAATCGCAGTTTGGAAATTGTCCTTCAAATTTGAAGTGGCTAGAGTGGAGTTTCAATGAATGTAAATGGGCGGCATGAGCTGCAAACAAATGGTCATATTGTGAAAACTATTAAGACTATGGCTTATCTGTGAACATTTTTAGTGGCAGCAGGGATAGCTGAACGTTTTGATATAAGATTTGTGTAGGTGGGCTTGAAAATGAGGGAGTGATGGCAGTTTAGAAATCATGTCCTGATTTTTCAGCTCACACTCTAGCTTTTGTCAGCTCTCACTCTAGTTTTAAACATTCCGCCATTCATTCCTATGGGACCAATTTCACCACAAAAACGCCGATATTTCGTGAACCATTCGGCTAAACATTCCACAAAGTAATAGCACACCAATCGAGAACAATCCGCACATTTCGGTATATTACTGTCTATGTAGTGTAAAAACTGTAGGAGGAGGTAGGGTGGTAAATCTGGCTATAATAATAAGAATATATATGTGAGATAACAGTAAGTGGTCTTGCCATGCAAGAACACTTAACTACAGACCTCAGACCAGAGGGTGTGACCTCAGCCATCTGCCACAGTCTATGCCAGCAATGTTTCCATCCATTACTAAGCCAGTTAATTGTGTGGCACAGTACACCTGCAGCTGTCACTCTGCAGGCTTGCATGTAGAAGACTTAGTAATGTCTCTTGTTCAAGCTTGTCCACTGATCTGAAGTCTTTACTGGGGGCTAGGCTTGCAAGTAGAAGACTTGATTCTGGCTCTAGTTCAAGGGTGTCCACTGATCTGAGGTCTACACTGGGGGCTAGGCTTGCAAGTACAAGACTTAGTTCTGTCTCTTGTTCAAGGTTGTCCACTGATCTGAAGTCTTTACTGGGGGCTAGGCTTGCAAGTAGAAGATTTTATTCTGGCTCTTGTTCGAGATTGTCCACTGATCTGAAGTCTTTATTGGGGGCTAGGCTTGCAAGTAGAAGACTTTATTCTGGCTCTTGTTTGAGATTGTCCACTGATCTGAAGTCTTTATTGGGGGCTAGGCTTGCAAGTAGAAGATTTGATTCTGGCTCTAGTTCAAGGGTGTCCACTGATCTGAGGTCTACACTGGGGGCTAGGCTTGCAAGTACAAGACTTAGTTCTGTCTCTTGTTCAAGGTTGTCCACTGATCTGAAGTCTTTACTGGGGGCTAGTCTTGCAAGTAGAATACTTGATTCTGGCTGTAGTTCAAGGTTGTCCACTGATCTGAGGTCTATACTGGGGGCTAGGCTTGCTAGTACAAGATTGGTTCTAGCTCTTATTCGATGTTGTCTACTGAACTGAAATCTATAAAATGCACGGGGATGGCAAAAGGGGGTAATTTGGGGGATTAGGTTTAGAAATACAGTCATACTTTGAAATGAATTCCTAATTTGTTGAATAAAGCATAAAAAGCAAATCTTTGCAGCTCATACACTGCAAAAATTGTATCAAACCTTGTGGCAAACTTCTGTCTCCAGTTGTTTGGTATATAAGCACATAATGTTAGATGTAAATGATCAGAAGAACTTAACCCCTTCAAGCCTAAGGGTAAAACAAATCTAAATGCTCAAGCACAATTTTGCAATGTTGACATGTGTTAGTAAAACTGTACATATCATCATCACAACTACTTTGTACATCCAGGTGAATTATACCTTGTTTTTTTCAGGACAAATTGGGCTTTCATTTGGTGATAAATGGTAATGGATATCAATGATTTTTTTTTATTATCAAAGGAAAACTGGCAAAAGCAAAATAGTAAAAAAAAATATTTTTTTTATTTAGCTGTGTGTTTCTTGTTACTACCATAACCTACCACCAAAGAACAACCCAAAATAAATTCTCCAGCTCTTGACAATCACAGCAATACCATATATGTGTATGTTATTTGTTGTTTGTACCCGTAGTACAGCCCAGAAACAATAGTGCACATTTTGTTTTCGTCTTTTTTTTTTTACCTAAAACACACTGACACTAACTGACACAGATACCACATTTTTTTAAACCCTGACCTTTGATCATGACCATTTGACCCGGACCTTGACCCAAAGACTTACCCTGGCACTGAACTAGATCAAACCTTGTTCTAGGTATTTTTTCTTTATTTTTTCTTATTTATTAATATTTATTTATCTTTTTTTTTTAACAAACATTTTTTCCCTCTATGCCAGGAGTTACAGAGATACAATGCATCTCTCTCCTCCATTCATAGAGAGAGAAAAGAACAAGGGAGCCGGGCTGTACAGTGACTGATCACTGTGATAGCCAATCAGAGGCTATCACAGCAATCATGTGACCCGGAATCGGGAGTAGCAGGTCCCCATCGTTAGAACGGGGCCCGGTGCTCTCAGTGACACCGTGGTCTTTGTGCTGGGAGTGTGCTGTGCAGCGCGCTCCCAGCACAAAGACAGGTATGCAAATATGTGGCCCCACGGAAAAAAGCCCAGTTCTGTGAGGCCGCATATTTGTGTTACGTTGGCATCAAGGGGTTAAAGTGGTTGTAAAGGCTGAAGGTTTTATGCCTTCATGAGTTCTATACATGAAGGTAAAAAAACCTTCTCTATGCAGCAGCTCCCCCCCCACCACCACCACCACTGCCAATACTCACCTAAGCCCTCTCTCGTTCCAGCGATGTGCATTGGAATTTTAAGTATCCCGTGACTCCTTCTCCTCATTGGCTGAGATAGCAGGGGGTCAATGAGCCAATGAAAAAAGAGAGGGGGTGGGGCCGAGCCACAGCTCTGTGTGTGAATGGACACACGAAGCAGCTGGTGCTCCCATAACAAGCTGCTTGCTGTGGGGGCACCTGATAAGAGGGAGGGGGGAGGGGCTAGGAAAGCCTGAGTGGGACCCAAGAAGAGGAGGATCTGAGCTGCTTTGTGCAAAACCATGGCACGTAAGTATAGACATGTCTGTTATTTTTAGAAAAAAAAAAGCCTTTAGTATCGCTTTAAAATGATGCTAATAATCATGTAACTTCAGTGGGAGGGGTTATGACATGCATAAGTGAGTAAGAGCATCAGTATAGGGCATGGACAGGAATATTAGCTTATATGGTTTTATTAATTGGAAGGAGCAAAGGGCTAACTAATTGTTATGTTTTTAATGCTATCTTGATGTGATTGATACATTTTAACCTTGTGCAGGACATACATCAAATCTACTTACTGTTGCTGTTATTTTAACTATTGCAAGATGGAATGTGGTTACTCCTGTATTTGGAAATCATTAGGTAAATAGCTAGTATTAACCACTTGCCTACCGGGCACTTATACCCCCTTCTTTACCAGGCTAATTTTCAGCTTTCGGCGCTGTCACACTTTGATTGACAATTGCGCGGTCATGCAAGATTGTACCCATATGAAATTTTTTTCTCACAACTAGAGCTTTCTTTTGGTGATATTTAATTGCCGCTGGGAGCTTTACTTTTTGCGCAATAAACAAAAAAAGTGCAAAAAATTTGAAAAAAAAATGTGCGTTTATTAGGCAGCACTGATGGGCACTGATAGGGGGCACTGATAGGCAGCACTGATAGGCAGCAGTAATGAGGTGTCACGGATAGGCGGCACTGATAAGTGGCACTGATGATGAGTACTGATAAACAGCACTGATAAGTGGCACTGACTGGCATCACTGCTGGGCACTGAATGGCGGCACTGTTAGGCATTGACTGGCACAACTGCTAGGCACTGACTGGCACAACCGCTGGGCACTTAATGGTGGCACTGACTGGCAGCACTGCATTGATGGGCACTGGTGGGTGACACTGGTGGGCACAGGTGGGTGGCACTTCTGGGCACTGGTAGGTGGCACTGCTGGGCACAGGTGGGTGGAAATGGTGAGTGGCACTGCTGGGCACCGATCATCGGTGCCGATCCCTGCTCTGACAACTCCCGGTTCTCGGTAGTACTTTCCTTGCGCTCTGGTAGCGTGAGGAAAGTGCAGCTGAAAACCCGGCAATTGCATTTCCCGGTGATCAGCGTGTCATTGGACATGGGTGATCACGTGGTAAAAGGCCGCTGTGATTGACCTTTTACCACATCACGTTATCAGCTGTGTCCTTAGGGCACAGCGATCACGGAGATCGCTGGGTGTGCACCCACGGGGGTGTGCAGGAGAGCGTGTTCTGGGAGGACGTCATTTGAAGCCCTCCCAGAACTGGCCAGCCGCAGTGTAGCCGTCATTCGTCTATCTGTGGTTGGCAAGTAGTTAATGTGGATATAAAGGCAATTTTTCTTAATTAAAATAAACAGAGAGGTTACGCTTACTTGCACTGTGCAATGGTATTGCACAAAGCAGTCTCTTCTTCTGGAGTCCCATGCCAGTGGCGCCCCTTCCTCCTTTCCAAGCTGTGTGCTGAGGGGACACATGTGCAGGCAGGCTCTTGAGCAGTGCTGTGCGTGTCCATAGACAGCTCGGCTGAATTCCCTCCTGCTCCCTTCTTACAGGATTTGACTGACAGCAGCAAGAGCCAATGGCTCTCAGATGTTACTCTCAAAGTCTCCTGTGAGACCACATAGAGAGAACAGTGCTGCAGACAGGACATTGATGGATTAGTGGAGGAGTAAGGTAAGCGATTAGGGATTGAGGGGGAGCAAAGAGTGTAGAGTTTTTTTGCCTTATTGCATAGAATGGGAACTTGCAATTTGCAAGGGAATTTTACCCACAACTTAGTGAATGAGGCAAAACTGAGTTTCATCATCCAATCAAGAATTATTTTTCTTTCATATGATTGGGTATTCTTTGAAAATTTAAATGTCGCCGCATTTACTAAGCTCTAAGTATAAATCCCTTCTTTCCTTGCAAAGTGAACAGGCTGCAGTATTTGACTTTAGAAAATCTACAACTATATCTTTAAAAAGATTTGAGTCTTAGTTCACTAAGATATAAGGCATGTGTCTGCCTTTGCAATCATAATTTTTAACCATTATTTTCAGCCTTTTTACCCTTACAGCTTTAAGCCTAGCCAAATAGGATTTAGATGTAGTGAGCAAACACCTACACAAGCAATCCCAGTGTTCTAACAAGAGGAAACTGCACAGTGAAGCAATGAGTCAACTGTGTTGGCTCATACAAGTTCAGCTGTCTTAAAGTGTTACTAAATCCACAACAGTAAAATCAGTCTGGATATGCTTTAAAGCATGCTTGTTATACTCATTTTGAAAAGCAAGGCGTTAATCCTCCAGGCTGTTTGATCCTGTCTTCTCTGAACCTCCCTTTCTTTTACTGTACCCAATCCATCTGCCATAGTACAAAGCAGCGGTGGCAAGTTTGCACATGCTTTGTTTGGTGTGTATTGCTAGCAAGTTTTTTTTTTTTGGAGGGTGCATGTGATCAGCACACCAATCATTGCTGTCTGGACAGAGGGCCAGGGGTCATGCAGCTTCATAAGACAGTCAGAGGGAAATGAAAACTCCTCCTACAAGACTGACCAGTGCTCGGTCAGACACTGACAGAAGTCACAAGACTGCTCTAACTGCTGATTAGAAAAGCTATTTAGGAGTTTATATTTACTAAAATAATTGCATTTCCATGTTCTGTGTACTGTGGGAGACCAGATATAGTGAATGCAGGGTCCGGGGTTTAGTAACACTTTGTCAAAATTTAGAAGATTATGCCTGGCTGTGGGCAGAAAAAGAAAGGTCTTTTTTAATATAATCACATAGCAGGGACATGGACCTGATAAGCATGGAATGTTATGTAGAAAGCCATACTATGTGCAGCTGGTGGTGTCAGGATATGCAGTAAACTGTATTTTAGACTTCATGGATATCATTACATCAGGTGTCTATGGTACTGCCCTCACAGTCTGTGGCTTGTCTAATATCTTGACTGTTTGTCACTTTAGCATAGAAACTTTAGCATGTTAGAAACTTGGACTAACAGAGAATGTCAGGAAGAAGAAACAGGTAGTCATGACTGTCATCAATTAGTTTTTTTTTAGAATAATAAGTATACCTATTCATGCATCTAAAACAATTTTTCTGATAAAATTCAGTAACACATAGCCAACTTCTTGTGAAGACTGCATGTGACAGGAAGCATGGATGCGTTTTATTCCCAAGTAAATACCTATCCTGTATTTATTTGAAAGTATATAAATTAAGCGCATCTTTGATCATACCCCTACAAGACATGAACATTACATATCTAACTGAATAAGTGCCATATTTATGCACCTTCTGGAGTTTTTAAAAGGTCAGTGTTAATTCAGACTAAACCTCTGCTTAAACCTCTGAATATCGGCTGGATATTCAATTTAACAGACCTTTGTGGAGAGCCAAACCTGCCCATAGGGTGTACAAATGAACCATGCTGGGAAATGTTAACAAATGCTAAGAGCAAAATTCATTATATGCATTAGAAAAATATTCCACATGGCTTAAACATAATCTAGCACTTGTCTGAACATTTGCAAATTTGAGGACACGTTAATAAAGAGAACATTACGATGCCACTACCAGCAAATGAATTAATGGAATTTAATTTTGTGCAACATCACGTCATTATAGGTTTTGTATGTAAGTTTCAAAACTTTTGTCACCAAACTATATGCGGTTGTATGGTGTTTCAGTTATATTTAACATTGGAACAAACCATCACGTCACAATTAGGGGTCAGGCTTGGAGATCAGTAGCTGCAGCAGTAATGAGGCTCCTTCTGACCAGCTGGATAAGTACCCAAGCAGGTCGCCCTGGTGAATGACACAGGCTCACTCAAGGTGTGGGGTCTAAGCACTAACCAGTATTCACTAGAATTCCTGATTCTGGAGATGGATTTTGCTCCGTGTTAAAACCAGGTTGCAAACCTCTGGATTACCCATCTAGGAGATGAGCAAGCTGGGGTCCAGTTGCTGGCATACGTAAATAGGGATCAAGCAGAAGTAGATTCAGTAAAAAAGTCAAGGGTCAGTAACAAGTGGTTGAAGGTTGGGATCAAGTGGAAGAGTAGTCAAAGAACAAAGAAACGGTCAGTAATGATTGGTTGTGGAGATAAGGACAGCTGCAGGTATGCAAGAGAGCAAGATATCAGATGGAGAGAGCACAATAATCTTACAAACATGAATGTAGAGACATGGCTTAAATCAGGAAGTTCATGAGAGAAGCAAAGAGTTCCAGGCTCACCAGAAACAACAAACAAGGAAAGATTGTCTTAAGAAATCACACAGGAGCCTGACACATCAGTTCTAAATTAGGGCTCGTTCACACTTGGCTGTTTTACCAACGCTTGCCAAACGCCCCTATAGCGTTTGGCAAGCGTTGGTCCGGCGTTTGCTGAGCGTTTTTTAACGCTCGGCAAACGCTCCGCAAACGCTGCATGCGCGGTTTAGCGGCGGTTGCTAGGCGTTTGCCGAGCGTTAATAACGCCCCACAAATGCCTATAATGCAGTTTGAGTGGTGTTACCGCTCCGCAAACGCCTCGCAACCGCGTCGCAACCGCACCGCAAACGCCGGCCGGGCGTTTGCGGAGCGGCACCATAGACGAGAATAGGAGGCTTCAAAGCCTCCTGACTCGACCAGAGGCGTCCGTTTTGCCGCGACGCAACGCGACGCGACGCAAACGCTCCCGTTAGAACAGCACCATGTGCTGTAATGTGCAGAATTGGCAGAGGCGTTTGGGAAGCGGTAAAAACGCTTCCCAAACGCCTCTCTGCCGCCAGCACACAAGGCTAGTGTGAACGTAGCCTTAGTGATACAAAAAAAATAAAACTAATTAGAATCTATGAAATATATCATATAAAAAAAGGCAAATACTGGGAAGCCCTAAAATTTCATGCTACTTATCATATATGTAAAAATTCAAAAGTTCTAATGTAATAACACTGAGTATTGTTTGTCTGGTGCCATGAAAGTGGTTTATATCAAACTCATCTGTAGATAAAATAGTTTATAAAAAAGTATTTTTAAAGAACCTGTTATTGTTCATGTTTTTTGTTCATCAGAGTTGCCACACTTGTGAATCTAGATTAGGGGCTCCTAAAACGTTTTAATATATTGTAAATACTTAAATAAGAAAACAGTTACTGCACTGAGACCCAGGAAGAGAATATTTACCAGAATGATATACATGCCATACAAAGACAGTTAACAGTCATATAATTATGAAAAAACAAACATACAAACTGTAAAGAATGAAGTTCTGTATTTAAAGAACACCATGGTGGAGGGCAAGGAATGAACATGAAAACCACTGTAGAATATTATTCAATGAGTAGTACAAGCGCCTAAGTATATAGGTATAGGTAACAAGCTGCTGTGCACAAAGAAAGGTACCAACATCACCCTAACAAGTAGCAATGTATATATAAAGTGCAGCGCTCGATATTAAAACCAATAAAATTAAAATAAGTCCTTATTAGATGGTAAATATATATATACATATAAATTCAAAAGATAGTCCAGCAAATCAAAATAAAGATATAAGTGCTCAGGTGACTTAAAAGTCCAGTATCTGTGTGGTAATGATAAAGCAATGAGCTCTCACCTGATGCGCATAACAAATGCGCTTTTGTGTATAAACAATCCAGATGTCCTCTGCTAGTGGGTGGTCCTCCCTCTGTTTGGTATGAGGCTGGTGGTCCTCTTCCACTAGGGGTCCCCCTATATGATCCTGGTAGGTAGTATCCCTCTGGTTAGGCTGGGTAACAGTAATCCGTCCCGGGAGTGTGTCTGTGGACTAAAGTACTCCCCCAGGGGATGACAAGGATACTCCCATAGTGCAGTAATTTTAAAAAGATATTTTATTGTGAGGCAACCCCCCTCTGAGGACGTGCTGGAACATAATACGTGTCAGGAGGAGCCACACCACGCCGTGACGTCACGCCGCTGGAGCAACGTGGAGCTCCGGTGGCAATCTTACTACACCAGACGGTCAGTCCCTAACAGACCACTGTCTGCAATGATTTATGTTTAAATATTACCTTGATGCATCACAATGAAATATCTTTTTAAAATTTCTGCACTATG